GGTGAGGAGCTGCAGCATGTGGGGCTGACCACTCCCCTGCTGGTCTGTCAGCACAGCCCCCACTGCATGCAGGCTCTCGGACAGCAGGACCCCACCTACCATTCCATTTCCACTCTGCACTGTCTACTAGGGATGTAAAAGAGTAGCTGAATTGACTACTCACATTCTCCCCCTTGCTGTATCTATATCGGAGGCAGCAAGAGCTGAGGAAGCAGGAACCGGTGCGGAGGGTCGGGGGAGGGATGGGCAGGGGAGGCAGAAGCACAACGGCACTGTGGCTTTGCTTTTAAAATGTGCAGCTTATACTCTGCATTTTAGATGTAGTAGGAGTTGGGCTGCCTGCCTGCCCAGCTTCTGCTACATTTAAACTGCAACGCCACAGTGACACTTTGTCAACTAATTGTGTCCTCGATGCAAATTGTATCGTGTACACGGTTAGTCATTTACTCACTACTTAACATCCTTAGTATCTACATGCTGCAAACTGTAGTGTTTGGTGAGTGTGGGCAAATACCAAGTAATGAAGGTTATGTGCCACATCTGCTGCCCACCATGGACCCTTTACGTTCTCCTCCTTTCCCTGTCCTTTCCCCCGCATCACCTCTCCTGAGCCCTACTGCTCCTCTTTATCCCCTGCCCCGGTGAGGGATATTCTGCTCTCAGCACTGTGCAGAGAACCAGCTCCTGGTGTATGTGCTCAAGTGGCCAGCAGGCTCCTTCCTTCCTACACTGCCTCTGGCTGGGCTGGCAATCCAGGAAAGCCTAAGACTCCTTGAACCAAGGCTCTAGCCAGATACTGAGCCTGCATGCGCTGAAGCCCTGAACAGCGCTGGCATGGGGGAGCCTTTCCACCCTTCAGCTAAGTTCTGGAGTTGTGGAGAGTGGAGGGAAGTGATTTCCAGCCTGACCACATTCCAACCCAGCAGGCTCCTTAGTAGCTCTCCAGGCAGGGACTTAGCACTCTCTTCACCCATTACCTTACACCATGAACCCTTTCCAATGGAGTTCAGGGCTTCTCCATCCTCTACATGCCCTCCGATTCTGAGCCATGTCTCTGGCTGGTTTGCTGAAGCCCCTACAGTCAGGTTCCCTGGGCCCTGGTGTACAATGCATCCTTAAGGCTTAACTCCTTTGGGCGCACACTGTAGCTGAGGGACAGGAGGCGGCTGTGTTAGGGCGGAGTTATCTGCCTTTTGACACTGAGCTGGCAGGAAGGAGTAAGCTGCTTCCAGCCACAGAGGGGAGATGAGCTTTGCAAAGACATGGATCAGAGGTGTATCCCCAACCTCCTCCTCCTCCTCCTCCTCCCTTGTGGCTGGAAGCAGATCCTGTCCCTTTCTTCCTGCACAGGGTTGAAAGACTGCTACTGGCCACATTCTGGTGTGAACCCTGGCAGAAATCTGGAGGGCAGGCATGTAAACTTGTGTGCTGCTCCCCCCCATGTTACTGTTGGAAGAGGGGGCACCTGGCTTGAGGAGACATGGCTACATCCCAGTGGCCAAGCCAGCATGGAGGATGGAGAGCACTGGGCAGGGACTGGCCAGTTACCCCTTCTCCCCATGTGAGAGAAGTATACATGTGTGCTTGTGTGTCACCCCTCTTCCTCATGTGAGAGAAGTATACATGTGTACTTGTGTCACCCCTCTTTCCCATGTGAGAGAAGTATACATGTGTACTTGTCACCCCTCTTCCCCGTGTGAGAGAAGTATACATGTGTATCTTTGTGTCACCTCTTCGCTTTTGAATCCTAAAGCCTTAAAGATACAAATAAATAAATAAAAAGAATGCAATTATGCAGTATTTCTTTTAAACAGTGGCTGAGTCAACTTAATGTTAATTTGAATGTTCGTACTGCATAGTTCTGATTGATTGATATTGAACTTGCTTGAGTAATTTTATCAGGTGTCTCGTATTCAGCATGGGGAAATATAGTCACCCTACTTAGTTCCCTTTCACAGCACATGGGCCATGCTTCTGCTCCTGTTGATGACAATCATAAAATTGTGCATTTTGACAATCAGGGCTCTAATTATGAGGCTGATGAATGCTTCAGAAAAGCTTACAAGTTAACACCATTTGAAGGCAGAACTTTGACTGCTGGACCCTAATACTAATTTCTGTGTGTTTCTAAATCACCTTTTCCTGTATAGTATCTATGAGTGTTACCTACCACAACAAAACCTTCTTTCAATGCTCTTTGTTCTAACTCTCTTCCTTTTCATTTTCTTGAAGGTGGATACATTTAGTATGTAACATTTCTTGTTTGCATTGGGCTAGTTATGGCTCTTCCTAGAGGATCATTTGAAAGAACTGATATATAGGCATAGCCAGGACTCTACAAATTATACAATCTACTTGCCCGTGGCAAGTAACCTGGAAGAGCAGGGTTCCGGTGATCTGCGCATGCGCAGATCGCCAGATAGCGCGGCTGGTGAGCGGGGCTCGCCGCGGTTCGGCAAGCCCTGGGCATAGCCCTATTTCTCGTATGATGTTTTTGGCACTATAGGCAGACAACTGTTAGAAATTAGAATTTTCCTTGAAAAAATCTTTCTTGTAGTAATCATTACTCATTTATAGGTGAATTGGTTGATTGATTATATTGATGCCTACACACTGCAGTTTAGGTGTCTATAAATACACAAGATAGATATCACTAGAAATTAGTAGAGGTAGTAATGCAAAAACATTTTTGCAAATTTGTTTAAATTTTAAAAATTATTCCCTTTGGAAAATTTCATGCCTTTCTTATATGTATTTCTGTGAATGTGTGAATCATTAAATTTGTCTAGCAAAATTGTTCATGGATAGTGAATTTCTAAGTCGCATATACAAGCCCTAGGAAAGTTGGTTTAGTGTACAGGTGATGTGGCCTTTGGTAGGTGCTATATTTTAACTGTGCAATTTATCACAAGACTAAAATAATTTACCGTATTCCATGGATATTATCTCCACCTATATGGCATGTGTGTTTATATAACTTCAATTATGCAATTGATTAGAGAACATCATGATATAATCAGCCTAATTCCAGACATAAGGAGAAAAATAAGCAATGTTTAATTATGAATTAAAATTCATTATTAATTATTTGTTCAGCTGTGCTAAATAGTCTAGGAGGAATGATAAGACTTCTGCAGTGTAAGGCTGAGCCATCAAGCCTCAGGCACAAAGAACAGGGGTTACTCTGAAGATAATTTGGATGATATATAAACAGCAAAAATAAACAACAGCACAGTTTGATGTTTACCGCATATAATGGTGTAAGGCTTTTGCTTACTTTCTAATTCTAGGGTATCTTTTCTCATTCCTCTCCATTCACATTCATAGCACTCATGATCACTGCAAATGGGAAAAACAGACAATCACGAATGAGCATGGCGTACTGCTTCAAAATCCGAGGCAATGAAGAGGTTCAGGTATGCGTGGTATAGGCTGTAAATCTTCTCCTTAAGTGCTGTTTAGCTCTTAGCTTTGAATAGCTAGAAGAATTAGAGTCCAAGACCTTATTATTTTAATCTTGTATGTAATATTGTCTTCTGGATCATTGGGCTAGTCATAACTTACTTTTTTAAACATACTTGGGTGAATTTAATGCAATACAAATGTATTTCAAATGAATTATGTAACCTCTGTGATGAGTGTAGATCAGGCTGTATACATTGATATTCTTTATTAAGTCAACTTATACAGTGACAAAGATCAAATGAAAAATTAGTTGCGGAAGGAGAACAAGACCTTGAGAAACCCACGTAAGGGAGGGAAGTTATGTTTTTCACATTAGTTTTGAAAATTGATGGCAAGTAGATGGGGAGTTAGAAGGAGTCCATTGAAGATGTTGGGGGCTGCAGAGGAATAAGACTTTCACAGTGACATTTGGTCCATATGTGGGAAGGGACTGATAGACAGATGTTACTAAAGTAGAGGAGGCAAGAAAGGAAGTAGAAAACACAGCTGGTAGTGCCAGAACAGGTCTGGGGTGTTTTTGTAGTCTGGAACAAGTCCTCCTAATATTTTAAAAACCATGAGTAAAATTCTGTGTTGGGGAAACTGCACTGGCTCCATTGGAATTATACTAACAGAGAATTTGGCAAGTAACGTAGGCGTGGTCTACACTACTGTCTCCATAGATCTAAGTTACACAACTTCAGGTATGAAAATACTGCTGTGGGTTTGAATAGATGAGAATCTGAGCATTTGGAGTAATGTTTCCAGTTTAGATTGTTGCCATTTTTTTGGTGAAGAGGGAGAACTGAACAAGTGTACACCCCTTTTATTGAAAATTACAGAAAAAGTGAAAAATTACTTTCTTGCGCAGGAGGGCCAGTGTAGACAGCCATGTTAAATTTCTTGCACAAGAAAGCCCGATGGCTAAAATGGCCATCGGAGCTTTCTTGTGCAAGAGAGCGTCTACACTGGCACGTATGCTTTTGCGCAAAAGCAAATCTTGTGATACATGTGATATATATTTTGCTCCTCTGTGTTCTAATTTCTTAGGATAAATTATACAAGTGTCATTCCCTTCTTTTCTGTTGTGCTCATGTACAGACATTTTCCTGTTCATCTAAAAATTAAACTTTGTGGGAGTGCACAAGCTCTTTATTACTTCATTAAGATGAAAAACCATACCAGCCACACATAATGAAGACTGCATTTGCATCATGTCATTGTGACTCTAAAAGAACATCTCTGTGCTAGAAGGCAAAAGGTCTCTGGTATCTTGCAGTGAATTTCAGCTGGTCTGACCAGTTCAGTGTACTCCAACTTACTATTTTATCTAAAAGGTGTCATGTAATTGTCATTAGGGAACTAATAACTCACTGATCATTAAAAACAATATGCAGTCCTGTGGCACCTTAGAGACTAACAAATATATCATGAACTTTCATAGGTAAAACCCACTTAATAGTCTGGTGTAATATAAGACCAGTGACTCCTTTAAAGAATTATATAGAGGTGATGGAATTATAACTACAATATGTTTAAACTAGCCATGCCAGGAGGAGTTGATAAACCAAACCAGGAGTGTTCTCTTCTAACCAGGAGTGGCCAAATTCAGTAGGCTATTAATTTATATTGTAGGTTGCAGAAAGTGATAAATTGTCATGTCATAATAACCTGGGGGAGAAAACCACATTGAGTCTAGACAGCACATCTTCCACACCCAGCAGGAAAGAGGAACCTTATTTAGGGATACATTTAAGAGCAATACATTTCAAAGGTTTATTGGTTTATATAGAGAGTGGGAGCAAGCCCATTAAGTTATCTTGCACCTGAAGAGAGAAGGAAAACTTTTCAACTCTGTAGGATACCTCTCCAAGAGTCAGTCAGTCTTTGCTGGTTAAGGAAGATTGATGAGAGAACTATCCTAAATAAAGACAGTAGCTTGTTGAGTTAGGTCTTAGCCACCAAAAAGTGTTGGTAAAGCCTTATATCTGTAGTCCTGGAGTCTGATTTAGCTTAATTTGTATGACCTGTTAGGAATATTTTAGATCATGATTCAATCAAGGTTTTTCAAGTGCTTTTATACTCCTTTTGCATTCCTTGATTAGGCTGTTATAATTTTACTTGTTTGAATTTCCTAAGTGTTCTTTCCTAAAATCACAAATGGTAATGAATGCACCTAATCAGGCTTTAAAGGGGTACCATCAACATGAAATCTAGTTAGTTACAAATAAATAAATCAGTTTAAAAATATTTCTTGTCCTACACCTATCCCTTGAGTTCTCCTGTCAATCTGACCTGTTGCTGAATTAAAGGTCCACATAAGCCACAGGAGAAAGTAATGATAAAAGAGAAACATTTTTGCCTAGTCTCTTTCAGTTATACTAATTGTAGATGTTGCTTGTAACAATAGGAAAAAATCTCAGACAAATATATATTGAAATTTGACAGCGTTCCTTTAAACAAGGAAAGTGCTGTGCATCATTTCAGTTTACAGCCAACTTTCTGCACTAAAGGTGAGAGAACTTTGCAAGTGAGGATTTGTTTTGAAGCATGTAGATCTCTAGGATTCCACAAATTGCAGAATGTGGTTAGTCTTGGTTAAACACTTCTAGGAGAGTCTACATTTTATGAGTCATTGGACTAGGCCCTAGCCTTAAGTTAATCTTTCATTGTAGGTTAACCCTTTTAGCATATTTTAAATACAGAACACAAAAGGCAAGTGTGTAGCATGGCAGTTTGCCACTGACTTACATGGGAACAGAACCTATAAATTGCCCTTAAATCCAGAATTATTTCCAAAGCATTTTGCAAATGTAACTCCTATTTTGCCCCCACATCCATTCCTTTCCAAGGATGGTAGGATCAGGCCACAAATTCCCAGAAAAGGACAGTATAATGTTGCTGGTAATAGCAGTGGCCACTTTCTTATTGTCACACTTTAGCTAAAAATGATGGGAGGCACTGCATTTCTTTCTTAATATTAATTTTCACATGTAAGTAGTTGCTGTAGTTGCTATTGCAAATGGGAAGGAGGTGGTCTGTGTGAGTGTGAATGAGTGGGAAGGTGGTTAAAACCATTCTTTCCACATTAAGATGTGGTTCATGCTAAAAAATAAAAAAGAGAGAGAGAGCAACCTATATAGAACAGCCAAATTGTAGTCCTTACTTGAGCAAGCCTCAGTTGAAGTTATGGATGATTCAGGGTTGCAGAATCTGATTCATATTTAATGGGTAAACATTTGTTATATATATTCTGAGGGCTGAAGTTAACTCTCGAAGACATGCACCCTACTTCCCTTCAGAATTGTATACATGAAATCCCAAACAAACAAATTAGCCTGATGATTTTAACGGAGTCTTTTACGTCCTGGGGGGAAAAAAGGGTAACAGGCTGATGATTTCCTGTAGTATCCTGAAGAAGCTCAATGAAATTAGGATACATTTTTCTGAATTAAATTAAACCTTTTTGAATTAGGATTAATATCTTTGAGATCCATTATATTGAAATCAAATTGGGTAGCTGTTATTGTGGAATTGTATGTTTGCATTGGAAGAATACATAGGATAATACCAGGGGGTGATTAAAGAAATTCATGTAGGTTGTGACATTTCCAGAGAAGTCACCTCTGTGGAAAGGTGCACATATACTAGTGCAATCGGGATTCTCTAGAGACCAAAAAAGTTTTTGTTTTTTGCTTTTGGTTTTTGGTTTTATTTTGTGTTTTACAAATAGCTTGTTATTAAATTGACTCAGGGTCTTCTTTCTGATCCAGCAAATGGTAGGGTTGGAAGGACTGAGGCCTCTTAAGATTGTGTTCTGAGCTGAAGCTCGGATGAACTTGTAATCAGAAAGGGTAAGTCTAAACTACATCCCTCTTTTGAAAGAGGGATGTAAATTAGACATATCGAAATTACAAATGAAGCCGGAATTTGAATTTCCCATGCTTCATTTGCATAATTGTGTCATGGCGTTTTTTCTAAAAATGCTATTTCGAAAGTGAAACTGCTGTCTGGATGTGGTTTTTTCGAAGAGAAAAGCCTTTTTTGAAAGATCCTGTACTCTTCAAAAATGAGGTTTACAGGGATCTTTTGAAAAAGGCTTTTCTTTTGGAAAGAACCGTGTCTAGACCATGGTTTCACTTTTGAAATAGCGTTTTTCCAAAAAACGCTGCAACACAATTATGCAAATGAAGCACGGGAAATTCAAATCCCAGCTTCATTTTCAATTTTGATAGGTCTAATTTACATCCCTCTTTTGAAATAGGGAGGTAGTCTAGACATAGCCAAAGAGTTCCCTTGGTGTAAGGGGTTGTAGAACTGCTCCTGTCATAATCCATGTTAGGATGAACTCTGCTACTTTACTAGCATACATGCACATGCTTTTATTGTATTTAGTATGTTTTCTCTGTAAGGCTTGTGTCTTAAGAATGAAGTAGGCTTGCAGGGGAAGTTCTGTGTGGTATCTTGTAGATCAGTGGTCACCAACCAGTAGCTCGGGATCTACTGGTAGGTCTTGGCGCCTCTAACAGGTGATCTTGACTGGTTTGGCCAAGAGGCTATCAAGTGCCAGCACTTCAGCTGCCCTTCCCCCTGCTGTTGTGCATCTTCTACCTTTTGCCTTGGAGCTGACTCCTCAGGAGCCTCCTGCTTTCTGTGCAGGGAAGGGGAGGGAGAAGAGAGGCACTGATGTCAAGGTGCCCCTCTCCCTCCCTTTATCCTATCTCCATTGAGCAAAGAGTGGGCACAACAGGACTAGGGATAGAATTTGCTGGATGCTTTTGGGTGTGGTGCAACTGCAAGACCAGGACAGGGGTGAGCCTGCCTTAGCCCCACTGCATCACCACCCAGGAGACACCTGAAGTAAACAGTGCCCTGCTGGATCCCACATCCCGAAACCCCATCCCAGTCATGAACCCATTCTTACACCCGAAGTCCTTGCCCTAGCCCCAAGTACCCCTGCATCCAAACACCCT